GCAACTACAGTTGCGGCAATAGTAATCACTTTACAACATTAACAGAACTACTTATCATTACAATGTGCGTAGAATCTTTCCCAATTATATTTAACGACTTCAAGATAAATGAAAAGTTTACTTGTAGAACAAAAATGAGCAAGGATATCATCAATGTTTTAGAACCTGAATTCAGGAGGTCAATTCTTGACTATTTGAAAGATGGGCATAAATATGCAATTCTAACAGATGCATCTAATAAGATAAATATTAAAATATTTCCCTTGATCTTCCGCTATTTCAACAAAATTAAGGACGTTTCAAGAAAACTATTAAAAATTTTTTCCCTTAAATAGTGAAAAATCCAAAGACATAGTTTACCATATAATGGAATATATCAGATTCGGCATTATTAATTTTCTGATATGATAATGCCTCAGTGAATTTGGAAAAAACCAGAGTGTATAATACAGAATTGAGTCAGCACAATAATGGTTGCGATATGTTCCTAATACCCGCCATCGATAGAATCTTAAAATTTTATAAACCTTTAAAAAAATATTTCTTAAATAAAGATTAAAAAGCTGTCCTATCCTAACTTTGTTAGATATGGTTTTTATTAAAAATTTCAATATCAAAAAAAAATTATAAAAAGTCAAAAGTTAAAAAGTCAAAAAAAAAAATTACAAAGTAATTCAATGTCCTTCTCGAGAAAATAACTAATAATAAAAATATTCTTTTTGATTGACATTTTATAATATATATGTATAAATATATATCACAATAATACAAAACTACAACACGCCCACCCTTCATCGGTCACGTGTTTCATTATCCCTAAATATAATTTCATATAATTTATAATATTCGCTTCATTTTCATAATCTCCAAATTCTCTTTATTTATTTGATATCATTCCTTCTTAATCCTCAAACCTTACATTTGTGTCATAGCTCTTGGTCATCATTACTCCCATATTTTAATCATTTTCTTATATTCCAACACATCCGGGTTATATGTAACATATATGATAAATATATTTTCAAAATATTATAAATATATGAAACTTCTAAGTGTAACTTCTTTCCCAACATAATTACTCAATATTTTGGTCTCAAATGAAATTTGAATTATTCATTTACATTTGTATTATAAAAAAATGATTTTGTTAACATAATTATACTAACTACATATTATAATAAATTTGTGATCTACGTTATTATTTTGTTTAAATTTAATATAATTATGTAAATATAATGTTGTAAAATTTAATAATAATATGTAAATATAATTTTGTGACATATATATAATATTTTGTTAACATTTGTAAATACAATTTTGTGACATATATACACTTATTTTATTAACATAAAATACACTTTGATATTTTATTTTCTTTCACATTTGGTCCTTTAAACCAATTATGAACACTACTTCTTTTTTTTAAACAAAAATAAATATATATACACTCGTATTTATTTCTTATCACACCACTGGAGATCGATTATCTTATTTAAGTTTTTTTTTATTTTCTATTATAATTGTTTTATCAAAGATTATAATAATAAATTTTTATCTCACTTATATTTTTTTTTATCTTTTATTATAAAAATTTAATTTATAATCAACTCTCTAAGAGTTAATTTCATTTTAAATTCACTGTTCCCACTGGAAAATTTTTCTTTTATTTAACTCATTTTTGCCCATGTTAATTTAAAAAAATATGAATTTAATTATATTTAAAAGTTTGTATTGTAAGTATTTTTTATATATCCACTCATATTTTTCTCGAAATTAATTTTAAATCACATATTTAAAAACATAATTCCATAATTAATGGAAAACATTATCGTTATAAAAAGAAATATCTTTATTTGCTATTTAAAATATTATCTATTATCAAATAATAATCCGGTAGATGACGTCTTATGCATTTGCATTTTATAATAAAAAAAATAAAAAAGAATTCTTCTATATAAAAATTGTCCCGGAAATAGATCTGGAAAAATTTCCAGAAAATAACCATTAAAAATTATTAATAATTCTGAATTATTTTCGTTTCTTTCTTTCTTTCCTTCTCTCTCTCTTTCTTTCTTTCTTTTCTTCCTCATATAAACATTTGCATTAACTATATTTCAATTATATCTATTATTATACTTTGTATTATGAAGTCGTTGTTTGTTAAATTTCTAAATTGATTATTATTCATTTATCTTTAAAACACATAAACAAAATATAAAAATAAAAAGTGAATATATAATTCTCCATATTTTTTTTTAAATTTTAATTATAAATAGCTTAAAGCCATGTTATTAAAAATTCAATATTATATTTTAAAACCATGTTATTATTTAAAATCGAAAATTCTAATTTTTTTAAAATATATTTCATTTTGATAACGTACATATTTTTTAAGTGTTAATAGGCGCCATCTTTCGGGTTGAATATTATTGAATTATATTTTTTAATTTATATTTATTTTATTAATATATAACTAAATAAGATTTTAAACATGTATTAAATAAAATTTAATTATTTTTATAGGGTTAGATTTTGTGTGTGTTGTTTATCATTTTTAAATATATCCGTTAATTTTTGATTTTTTTTAAACTTTCTAATCTCACTCACGTGAATTCAAATTATCATTTATATCTTTCAATAAACATACACTTTAATTAATACCATATTATTAGAAATAAAAGGTGCATTACTATTTAAAAATTTATAAAAATGTAATCATTTTATAAAATGATATAATTTTTACTAGATTTCAAATATTTATAGAATTCCACTAGAATTTGAATGAATTGTAACGAATAAAAATCCTAAAAATAAATTTAAATTTACAAGGTCACCATTTTATAAAAAAGTGAAAATTAAATGTATAATATTTGATAGAACAAATAATGTTTTGTTAATGATTGACGTATTCATTATAAAATATATATGTTTATTAGAATATACAATGCGCGTTAAATCATAAAATCAATTATAACAATATTTAGAGCAAAATATTTAAGACGTTGCCTCAGGTTTAGTCGGTGCAATAGAGGGTTAAAAAAGGTACATTATAACCATACTATTAATTTGATTTAGAAATTGTAATTAAATTACAATAATATTTCTTAAATTCTTATTTTTAAAATTATCAAAAATTAGAAGAAAAAAAAGTGAGAAAAGGTCAAAAAAAAATTTTTTTCACTCTTTAGCTTTCACCTTTTCTGGTGGTAAGCTCCTTCAATATTTCTCTCCACTTTATGTTATTCATACAATCTCTTTTTTTATCTAATTTACACTTCTTCATATTGGCTCTAACTTTATGACCCCATTGAAGTTTTGGCCTTCCTCTTTTACGTTTGCCCATCACTTCTAAGCTTTCAACCGTATTTCCTATGTAGTTCATAGGCCTTCTCATTGTGTGCCTATACCACCCAAGTCTGTTTACTATTATCTTAGTCTTAATGGGCACTATCTTTAAACTACCTAGTATTCTTGTACTGCGCACTTTATCTTTTTTTTTTACCCCAGCAATCATATTCAGCATTCTCATCTCCATAGTTTGTAGACTTTTCTCTGATTCTTTGGTTGGCCATGTTTTCGAACTATATAGAATAGTTGGTTGTACTATGGAACTGTAAATTTTTCCCTTTAATTTGCGTGAGATTCCTTTGTCAAATAGCACTCCAGATAAAGATCTCCATTTTAACCACCCTTGATTAATTTCACTCTTTATTTCTCTATTGTGCTGTTTGTTTGTATAGTGGAGACCAAATATTTGCAGCTTTCAATTGCCGATATCTGCCATTCATTTGTATCATAGCTCTCTGTTTCATCTCCTCCTATCACCATATACTCCGTCTTTCTCTATTTACTTTTAGTCCGTGCTTTTCTAGGATATTTATCCACCTCACTAACCTTTCTTTCATTTCATCCTTGGATTCGGCCAGTATCACAATATCATTTGCAAATATCATATTCCACCGAACTGTTTGTGGTATAAACTGTGCTAATACATCTATTAATGTTATGAAGAGAAGTGGGCTGAGAGCCGACCCTTGATGAACTCCCTCGGCTATTGTGAAGCCTGTATAAGTACCTGTTGTGCTGCGGACCATTGTTTTATGGCCCATATACATATCCTGTATTATTCTTATATATTTTTCGGGAATCTGGGGGCGTAGCGCCCACCAGATAAGTTTTCTTGGGATTCTATCGAAGGCCTTTTCAAGATCGAAAAAGACCATGTGTAGCTTTTTGTTCTTTTCCCTATATTTTTCACTCATTTGCCTAGTTGCGTGGATAGCATCAGTTGTTGATCTTCCAGGCATAAATCCAAACTGAGTCTTTTTTATTTCGATTATGCCTCTTAACCTTTTTTCTATTATTTTTTCGTAGAGTTAGTTTTATGCCCCTGTAAATTTGACAATTGTGTGGATCTCCTTTATTTTTGAAAATAGGAACTAGATAGCTTTGCCTCCATTTTTGAGTGACCTCTTCATTTCCCAGTATTTTATTGTATAGATTTGTGAGGAGATGTATTCCATCATCTCATACTGCTTTAAGGATTTCTATTAGAATATCATCTGGTCCCCTAGCTTTGTTGTTTTTCACATGCTTGAGACATGTGATTATTTTTTGTTCTGTTATTGGTTGTACAAGGTTTTGACATGGGGAGTGTTCGTCTAGATGTAGTATGTGGGGATTAAAGTAGAGAAGCTCTTGAAAGTATTATTTCCATCTATTCATTATTTATTTTTCCTTTATTATCAATTTCCCATCTTTATTTTTTATTACTTTCGGAGCTCTGTTTATATCCATAGAATTCTTTTCTCGCCGTTTGGCTAATCTGTATATTTTATTTTGCCCTTCTTTGGTATGTAGTTCTTCATACATGTCATCGTATGCCATAGCTTTGGCCCTAGCCACCGCCTTTGTAGCTATTCTCTTGGATTTTTTGTAATTTGTCTTGTCATCTGGGTTTTTGGATTTGTACCATATTTTATATAGGGCTTTTTTCTCCTTTATAGTGGTTTGCACATCTTGATTCCACCACTATAGTTCTTTGTAGGATTTGTTGCCTTCCCTGTCAAGCCCAATGTCGATTTGGCAGTGTCTATTAATCTGGATGAAAGGTCTGTCCACATTTTTTCACTGAATTGTGAGGAATCTATTGTTTTAATGTTTGCATTGATTGCAAAGGCATCTGTCATTGTTTTTAATTTACCCCATTTGATGTATGGTTCCAGTTTTATCTTGTTTTGAGTGGATTTATTTGTGAGGTGTAAATCTATTACTAGTAACTTGTGTTATGCGCCAATATCTTCTCCTGGGATGACTTTGCCGTCTATTACATCTTTTAATTCTCTGCTAGAGATTAGCATGTAATCTCTCTGTGTTTTCCTTGTACCACTTTCATATGTTATTCGATGACTCTCTTTTTTCCTATAGTAGGTGAGGCAAGGTCGAAGGCTTGCGGGAATTTCAATACATGCTCTCCTTCATCATTTCTTTCTTCATATCCAAAACCACCATGATGCCTTTTGTAGCTATCTCTTGCTTTTTCCCACATGCGCATTTAAGTCACCACTATTATGACTAGGTCATCCTTAGCGATTTCTAATGAATAATATAAGAATAGAATAGAATAAAATAAAATGTGTGATTGTATTGAATAAGTTACGGAGGAATTCACAATATGAAATTATAGTCTTGAAGATTAAAATTGGAACGATTATTATTATGGTAATTTACAATGTATTTTTATATTTTAAAAAAAGAAAAACAAGTGGTCTTTTAAAATGAAAATATATATCAATATATATTATATGTATATTTAATTGCCTTGAGATATACAAATAATTAACTTTAAATATACAATTACAGCAAATATACAATGAATTACAACAAATTAAGCGAACATGTAACATGCACCACCTCCAAAAAAAAATATATATATTTAAAGTCTTAAAAACACAACATGGTACAAAAAAATGGGGAAGGAAAGAACTCGTTTGGCATGCGAGAGGTTATTTAGATTTTTTTTTAAGTGAAAATATATGTATAAAGGGGAAATGACACCATAGTTGTACATGATAGTTTTTTATATAATTACCCTTGCAAATGGTATAGATTACACTATCGATAGGTACAATTCACACTATAGGTGGCCAATAAACAAAAAATATATTTGAAATAAAATTAATATAATGAAGAAAATTATTTAATCAAAAAAAAATATCATGAAAGTATATGATAAAATTTGGAGATGGTTATAAAAAAAAATATAAGAAAAGCGTATTATCATAGAAAACAATTATAATTAAAGAAACATATCTAAATGAACAATTTTGACCTTAGAAAATTTGAATTGAAAATGACATTACTGATCCTCTCAGTGACAATACCCCCACGCCATTGATGCTCACTTTAACAATATCGGAGTTGCGTAAAGTTAATTCTCAAAATTTAATTCTTTTAAAATTAAGGTAGTAAATCAAAGTCATTGTCATTTCTTCTTTTAAATTTAAGATTATAATCAAAGTCATTGTCATTGAACAATCAACCGATTCCTATTCGAAGCGATAACAGATTATTAAAAGTTAAAAAATTAACCCTATCTCCTATCTCTTATTAAAATCAAAATTAAATCTTATCAAATCAAATTCGATCCAATCTAGACCACATAAAGTCCAAAACATAAAAATCTAAATATTTAATCGTATTTAGAAATTTGACCTTACAATTAATAACTTTACCAATGACTGTGATAGGCGACCCTTCATAAGAGAATAATTTCTTCGAACAACTCTTCAACTCCACATCTTCATCCTTCGCAAGCTTTTCAAACTCTTTCATGGGCAAGACACCGGAGAACCAGTATCTATCATAAAAGAAAAATCATAATTATTAACTTGAAGATCAATCATAATATCATTAAAATTAATTTTATTTCTTAGCCTTAAATTATAAGGGGTTTGTATCATCTCCGTCTTTTTGAAATTGTTGTAATTGCTGTTGTTGTTGTTGTTGCGGCTGTTGTTGTTGTTGTTGTTGTTGCTGCTGTTGTTGTAGGTCCTACCATTATGCTTGTTTTTATTCCATGTCGTATAGCATTTTGAACCATATTTGTCATCTTTTCTCCATGTATCTTTTTCAATGAAGGACTTTTTATTATTAATCTCCAATGATACATTTGACAACAATCTCCTAAGTCTGTCGTGTTTTCTTCTATCAATCTTGTTTTTAATGACAATTAATAATGAATTGAACCGCTAACAATTCTGAATTAAGGCCAGATCCGCACGCCTTCAGCCTATCCAGATATTCTCTGGATGACTCTAATCTATCTGGTTTAGTACTAAAAACTTCCATTATATGCTTAATTTTATTCTTTTCAACTTTTTTTGTATTAAATTCTTCATCTGCCCATATGATAAATTATCAATCGAATCCATTATACTCGCCGCCAAATCTTTATTTATTGTCTCGAACAGTTTATAAGTGGGTTCATCAGTTATGTTTTCGGCAATAAATTTTAGGTCAAGGGTTTTGAGTTAGACTTTTATGTTATTATTACTATCCTCCACCATAATGAATAATATAAGAATAGAATAGAATAAAATGTGTGATTGTATTGAATAAGTTACGGAGGAATTCACAACATGAAATTATAGTCTTGAAGATTAAAATTGGAACGATTATTATTATGGTAATTTACAATGTATTTTTATATTTTAAAAAAAGAAAAACAAGTGGTCTTTTAAATGAAAATATATATCAATATATATGTATATTTAATTGCCTTGAGATATACAAATAAATTTCACTTAACTCTAAATATACAATTACAGCGAATATACAATGAATTACAACAAATTTAGCGAACATGTAACAATTTCTATTACAGCTTCATCAAGGATAGCTCTAAAGTCATCTCTTCTTCTTTGCACCGTTTGAGGTACATATACTGAAAGAATGTGTAGTATTGATTGACCAATACAGAGTTTTATTTTCTTTAGTCTATAAGAGATCCTGTTAACTTTATCACTGAGAAGGTTAGATCTTGACTGAGAATGATGCCGACACCGTTCCCATTATTAACAATTCCAATATAGAACAATTTATACCCATCTCCAATCATCGGAGTCTTCTTACCGTTTCATTTCGTCTCTTGTATGCACGCTATGTCAACTTTTCTCTTTTTCAATATTGATGACAATTCTCTCGCCTTATCTTTAAGTGTCCCAATATTCAAACTTGCTAACCTTGTCTTCTTTGCTTTGACCTTTTTATTTTTCGCAGAATGGAGGTCCACACCCTGCGCGTCGAAGAGGGAACGCCCTAGCTTTCATATTCGTATTTTCATTTGTGTCTTTTATTTTTGTTTATTGGACAAGTATCCTTAGCACCCAGCTGTCCAAGCCATCGGTGACCGGGTGTCATCTCTAAGCTCAGAATTTTATCCTATCATATGTCTTTACACATCATTCATCGAGAAAAATCCGAAAATTTTTACGTTTCTTACAAGGATCGAATCTCGGCCTTCTGTTAGAAAGCCTTCATCATAACCTTCTAGGCTTCCCGGTGATAAAGGTCAAAAAAAAGATTAAAAATGATTTTAAAAATTAGAAATTTATGTAAAAGATTACAATATAAGGATAAAAAAAAATCTTAAAAAGAATATTGCAATTATGATGAAAAAAAAAATTAAAGAATTTTTTTAAAAAAGTGGACCTAAATTTATAAATTATTTATAAAAAGGTAAAAGATATCAAAAAATGAGTAGAAAAATATGTTGAGAGAAGATGTAGTAAGAAAAATTACGTAAAGAAATCGCAAAAAAGTTAGAAATAAAATAAGAAGGATTAACAAAAATAAATAATAATTTAAGAAAAATTGACAAGAAATTTAAAAAAATTACGTATTTTTTACTAAAGAAACTCCTCAAATTTGTAAAATCTATAGAGCCTCTTGGGAGATTTTTCCCACTAGGCTTACTGGCCAGTCCACTAGATTAAAATGAAATATAATTATTAATTTATATTATTTACTATATTATTGAATATATGAATTAATTTAATTTTTTATAACTCGTTTATAATCATATAAGAAGATGAATCTTCATAACAAATTAACAGATGTATGAAAAATATTTTTACATTAGCATTTGAATACCTATATTTGCAGTGAGAAAATCATGAGAATGTAATGTACCATTTGCGTTTAAAAGGTTATCCTTGCGAAGCTTTTAATAAATATTAATTAATTATAATTTGAATTGCAGAAATTGATATATTGGAAAAGTAAGATTCAAAACCAATTTTACCAAACTTTAAAAAAAAAGAAAATCAAAACTTACATTCGTAATTTTTCTATCAATTTAATATGAGTCGTTCCACTGGCTGCTAAATATTTTTTTTAATTCTCTATATTCTTGATCCTGCATATTATTATTTCCAACGGGAAAAAAATTTTTTTTTGAAATAATAGAGAATTTTCGGAAAATGGATAATTTGTTTTTGATGGCAGATTAACTGCATGAGGATAAACCGCTCATTGACAGTCGTTGATTGGAGTTAAAATCATCTGGCAAAGCATCGAATCGAAATACGAATTCGATGCTCAAAATATTGATCGAAAATTTTACTCAAAAACAAAGATGAATTAAGCTTTCTTATAAATCTTAATATTTTTTTTGTATGGTTTGACAAATAAAAATGCTTTTCAATTGTTTCCTTTGTAGTAAACCTGACGCTTTGACCATGGTTGAGATGGAATAGAAGTGAATTGATACTATCATTGACTAGTTTATATTTTTGTATAATTTTTTTTAAAAAATGATCTTTTAAAAACTGTTCATCATAGATTATAAGTTTATAAAAAATATTTTTTTTTAAAAAAAACATATAAAAAACCTAATAATAAAAATTAAAAAATATTTTTAAAAAAAAAACAATAGAAAAAAATATATATAAACGCCATCTTCCGAATAGTTATTTGTAGATAATTTTAAATGTTAAAGTAAAAATTTATTTTTAAACAATATAAATTTTAATTGAATAAATTAATAATTACAAACATTATTATTTTTATATATTTATCATTCAATATGGAAAAATTATGATGATATACTGTAAATCTAAATTCAATTCAATATTAAAATAATTCAATTATTAATAATTTTTAAATAACAACAAAATTTTAAAAATAAAATTTTAAAAATGTCAGCTAATATTTTAAATTTAATTATATTCAAGTTGGCGCATGCGTAAAGCATTACGTTTATTTTATTATTATTTTTGTAAAATTATTTTTTGCTTTTTATAATAAAAATAAATGGATTAGGGTAATTAAAAATTTAATATTATATTTTTAAACCATGTTATTATTTAAAATTGAAAATTCTAATTTTTTTAAAATATATTTCATTTTAATTTCGAACATATTTTTTAATTAAATAGGCGCCATCTTTCGGATTGAATATTATTGAATTATATATTTTAGTTTTAATTTATTTTATAAATAAATAACTAAATAAGATTTTAAACATGTATTAATTAAATTTAATTATATTTATGGGGTTAGATTTTGCTTTGTGTTGTTTACCATTTTTAAATATATCCGTTAATTTTTGATTTTTTTTTTACTTTCTAATCTCACTCATGTGAATTCAAATTATTATTTATGTCTTTCTATACAGATACACTTGTGCTTTATTTAACACTTTGTGTAAAAATTTCTCTTGAAATTACATGGTAAAATAATTCCAAACATACTTATAAATTTATTTGGCGAAATAATTTTTATAATTCATGTAATACAATTAAAAATTTATAATAATATATAAAAAAATTTTTATAAAATATATCATATATTAAATTACCCGAAATATAACTTCACTTTCATTTTATTTACTTCTAGGGAAATCGAAAACCTGTTTTTAAGATGTTTTAATCATACTTAGATAATATTATAATTTATCCATATGATATTTGCATAGTTATATAAATCCCATGTTGCCAATGTATGATTATATTATCGTTGCAAGATAGGCCAAGCTGATAATCGTTCTGTAAGCTCCCAATACTATCGCAGAGACTTTTACCAGGTGCCGTGGCAAATAAATACTAAACTGCCTTTATCCCATATTAATTTTCATTTAAGTTTTTATGTTTCTGTACTGAGTTAACAATTGCCCCATCAGAAAAATGGAGAATTTTGGCTACTCTGTCAAATCTTTTTTTTTAAGGAATAGAGATCAATTTTAGGACTGTGTTCCAATGACTCCCATTTGCTCACATATTCTAGACTATACAGTTTGAACTATTTAGTTTGTTTTAAGTATTAGGTTATCCTTGATATTTTTCGTATTTATTTTCTCGTTCTTTTGCTTTAGAGTAGGATGCACTCATGTCACTTAAAATTACATTAATCTATAGGCTAGAAAACATGAATTATGCCCGCTGTTCCCAAATCTTTCACAAATTGCTAGTAAAGCCCTTTTAACTATTCTTTCATTACAATCCCTGCTATTCGGCGCGGAAAAGTTGGCGGACGACAGTCGCGGCGCAAACTCAGGGCGGAGTCAATTTGGGGCGTATCAAATACAGTGCAAATTTATTAGCATAATACAAAGGGGGCCATGGATATCAAAAAATATATTGTATTTAATAAACAAATATATATACTCTGATTTCATTGGTGGACCAATTTAACCCATGTCATAAGATCTGTTGATCCAAAAGAAATTCGAAAAATTCAAGGTATTAACACGAGGGAAGTCTCATGCAAAAGGTTAAATTTTCAATCATATCCAGCGATTATATTAATTTAGAAAATTAATTATTGACTTAAACAATAGATTTCCCTTTAAGACTGACTCATAATCATAAAAAATAAATATCATTTTTAAACCGGGGATTCTAACCGAACCGCTAAACCGGAATTAACCGTTATGATTTTCTGAACCGTAACCGAACTTAAGGAAGGTGACATAAAAAATGGTATAATTTTTTAATTCACCTAATAGATAATTAGACTCATAAAAAAAATTTCTCGATCTCTTCGATAGAAATTAAAGAAATAAATAAATTTGAAATATATTTTCCTTGTTGATACAATTGGGCCCGGAATAAAAAGGAGATATAAAAGAAAGAAAGAAAGAAAGAAAGAAAGAAAGAAAGAAAGAAAGAAAGAAAGAAAGAAAGAAAGAAAGAAAGAAAGAAAGAAAGAAAGAAAGAAAGAAAGAAAGAAAGAAAGAAAGAAAGAAAGAAAGAAAGAAAGAAAGAAAGAAAGAAAGAAAGAAAGAAAGAAAGAAAGAAAGAAAGAAAGAAAGAAAGAAAGAAAGAAAGAAAGAAAGAAAGAAAGAAAGA